CTGGTGTGGTGTGAGAATGAACCTAATGACTGTTTTCTTTAGTGGCAAAACTGGTTTAAGAGGTTTTTGCCACACCCTTCATTACGTCTCTAATTGTGCCAGTGCAAGTCTTTGAGAGCTGCATAGTAAGCTTTTATTAGTGAAATGGACTAGGTTTCAAAATCTCCTTCTCCTTCTTTGTCCTGTCCTATTCTTCCCCTCCCTGATTATTTCATCAGTTTTGGTTTACAGCACTTCTTCCTCTTCCCTCCTCTAATGCACACAAAATCAGTTTCATTAACTCAACCGAGGAGATAGCAAAATATAATTTCCAAATGGATTTCCTCTGCTTAGAAATGCCTGTCACAGTGGAATTTTTCCTCCTCATTTCTGCAGTATAGGGTGGCGTATTTCAGCCTGGCTAGAAATCCAGGTTCCCTGATTTGTTTAGCAAAACGGTGTTAGGGAACTTTTCCAGAGTGTTTCCAGTTTGGTAGCGCAATAAGTTTAACAATGAAATACATCTTTCTTCATAAAACTAGGTCTCAAACTATTATTTTCTATAGCAAGGAAAAGCATAGCAGCAACCAGGGTGATCTCTCTTACTACACAGATCTACCATCACCTGACATTTCCTTTTTGTCTTGGAAGATAATTGACCAGTTATAAAGAAGGATGTATTTCACTGTTAAACACAGTGGAAAATGTCAAAGGCTTATAAAATGAAAGTCTAGAAATTATGTAAATATTATCAATGACCATCTTCATCATACACCAGTGAGTCATGTTATGCTTGGGATGAATTAAAGATTTTTGCATAACTTAAAAATGCATAGTACATGATGCACTTAATTTATTGGGGCATTTTGAGATTATGAGCTGATTTAAAGGTCTGACTTTTCTTCAAGGGCGCTGACTCAGACCAGCAAAGGGATGAGCACACTTGCTGTGTTACGCTGCGTGGTGTGATTCTGCCATCTGAATGGGTGTGTTGGGGAGGACACTGGATGTGCTGAACATAACCCTCTCCGTGCCCTGACAATCTCAGGTGCTGCACAGGGCTGGTGGTGTGGCAGCAGGTCACCTGGGGCCAGAGGGAGCTGTGGCTTGACAAAACCTGTCGTAGAATGAATAGTACCTCTAAACTATGAATAGGCAGTGGAAGAGAGAGGCAGTGCTGCAACCTGGTACACACCTGCCAGGCTTCATCCCCGCAGCCTGGGAGAGGCTGGCTGAGGGAAGCTTTCTGTGGGCTGTAGCAGTTCTGTTTGTCTGTTACTTGCCTCACTTGATGTAAGATCCATCTCCACTATTCAAATATCCACCCTTTGGGGCATCATCTGGGCATTTGTGTGGAAGTCTAGGCTGGGTTATTACAACACAGAACCATGGCACCTCTGCACTCTGGCACTAAATGCTCAGTTCGGGGTCCTGAAAAACCTGTAAGGCAGCCACTGCCTCTGAACACACAGAAGAGCTCGTTAATGAGCTACAGGAGAGACTGAGCTACAAAGAGACAAAGCAGCGATGATACACAACGGCTTAGATTGGTCAAAGCAGTGCCTGAGAAGGATGGGAGGGAAAAACACCCCCTGCCAACAAGTGTCAAGCTAACAGAGGACAGAAGAGTGTGAAATGCTCAAAGGCAGTGCTAGGTTTGATACAGGCTGTAATGAATTGGAGACATTGTTGGAAGCTACCTAGAGACTCTGGAGAACAAAGTCCAATGGTGTGTATAAAAATGAAGGGAGAAAATATATCTTACCTGGAATATAATGGCCAATTCTGTGTATTTACCTACAGAGTGATCTAACAGGAGCAATTATTCAACAGCTAAGACAGAAGACAAAAGAACTGAAAGGGGAGCTTGAACAAGAGGTATACAACATACTGAGAAGTGTAGAAAAGTCATGACTGAGCCTTTTTAGAAAGATGTAAGAGCAGAAGACTAACTTGAAGTACAGCAAGAGGAAAATTTTTTATTGAATACATCATTGATGTGTATAACTCAGAATTACGTCAGAACTGCTAAAGACATTTTCTATATTTATATAAGCTTATAATAGTAGAAATCCTCCAAGCCGTAAGAAATTTTTAAGGAAAAAATCCCCACATGTGACCAGAGAACAGAACTGAAACTCAACTGTCAACATCTTGTGGAGTTTTACTCTTTGTGTAATCAGTCCAGTATGGTCCATATCAACACATTCAGCTAAGTAGATCATTGGTACTTATTTAGCAAATTCTGCTGGTCTTAGATGAATTCTTTTCCTTTTTTTTTTTTTTAAGTGATATCCTTTATCTCTAGTGTCACTGTGAGTAGCAGTGCTTGGCCAAGTTTTCTGAGGGTTTGATTTTTTTCAAGGGCCAGTGCTTTTAAGTGGGTGATTGTTATCTGATATTTTCATTATACCGTATGAAAATATAGCATTCAATAAATCTTGTTTTCTTCATGATCAGTAATACAGTTATGAGACAGGCTGCATTGATAATTTAATTCTGGTCAACCATAGCAAGTGCCCCGGATAGAATAAAAAAATACCTTTGTAAGTAGTGCCCTTTTCTCATAGCAAAAATAATACCGTAGGATTGCAACTGTAATACTTCTGATCATGGTTGTTTCCACTGAAAAAGGCAAATGGGCACACACACCTCCCTGAAGGGGACACAGTCTGAAGTGCAAACAGGTGCAGGAGCAGAGATGGGAGGCAATAGAGCACAAGTGTCTGAAAGCAGACAATGGAGTATCTTGGGCCTTGGATCTGTAATTTTGTCTCTTTTAAAGTGTAGCTGTGTTGGTTTGGGGTGTTTTAATGACTTTTGTACAGTGATAACTAAGATTATAGGCAACTTTCTTGACTCTCAAGATTGTCAAGAAAAGTTACATAAAAGCAGTTGCATACTGGGAAAAAATAGAAATCCTTTCTTCTCCCCTTGTCATAGCCTGAGATATGTAAAGGTAGCAGAGTAGGAGAAGTGGTTAGTTCCTGAAGGACTGGTTTGTTCATTCCTCTAGAGATTGTCACAGGTGGTGTTTCTTGTAGAACTGTGTTGGGCTTGTGCTGTTTGACTTATTTCTAAATGACCTGGAAGAGGGAAGCAACTAAGTTTACTAAATACACAACATTAATTAAGGCACTAAGGATGGTGGAAGAGCCCGATGGTAACTGGGCAGTAAAGTGTCACATGAAAATGAGTGTGGATAAAATCATGCTCAGCCATACTTTCAAACATTAAGTGATGGGATATGCCCTGGTGGATGTAAGATCCAAGACTTATGATAGACAGAGCCAAGAAAGCCTCAGCTTGGCAGTAGTCAGAAATGCCAGTCAAACCTCCAGCATTATTAGGCACAGAGTAGAATACTTGTCTACAATTTCATAAATCTGATTGAACTGCTCTGTGTAGTTCTGATCCTCTTATCTCAAAGCAGATAAACAGAAGGTGAGCAGGAAAAAAAGCCATTAATTAATACAATTTACTGGGACTCAAAAGACTGAGCTTAGATAAATTATTCATAATATCATTAAAATTCAAGTACAACTGAAATTTCCTGTTGGGTTAGCTAACACAGAGAAATTACACCTCATGTGTTTCTTCTACAAGACTTTGAACATGGTAGTGATAAGACATTTTGCCTGTCTCTCATTGTCTGGAGGTGTCTTTGTACATCTTAAGAAAAGGAAATGTTATTTTGAATTTACTCCTCTGGAAAAATTAAAAAGTAATGATTCTATTATTAAATCCATCAAAGTAGAGAAGAAATCTCTTTTGTTCGTATAGAACTTGAAGGGACTTGCAGAACAGCCAGTTTCACAGGAGCGCAGGCAGAGAGTTCCCAGGAGGCCTCATGGAATGTCTGCCTGGTCTAGTGCTGCACTGGGCAGACTGGGGTGCTGCAGAGTGCACTTCAGAAATCAGAAGCAGCATAACCCTGAATTCACTGTGTGTTCTGCCCGGGCTGCTCAAGATAGCTAGTTGCAGTAGCTCTGGAAAATGCCTTGCTGTACAGCAGTAATATAACCCAAATGAGCTGGCTGATCTGGGGCTGCAGAATTGGGAGGGCCTGTCTGCACTTGCTTGGTTTGATGTCAGAGTAAAGGGTGCCCAGACTAAATTTTAAGAGATTTCCTTTTTCTAGCTGCAAGGAAAACAAGATACTTTTTTTTTCATTTTTGTTTTCTTGGTTGGCAAACAGAAGAAAGCATTCCTGGTTTATGTTGGATTTGCTGTTCCCTTCTGTGATGATGACTCACATTTAGAACCAAATTCTGTCTGTCAGAGTGTACTTTGGCAGCATGGCCACTTGCACTGGGTACAATTGCACAGGTTTGTGACATTGTGATTGCTGGCACTAGCAGGGGATCTATTCCTGTACTCTGAATGCAACACTCTTCATCCTCCTGGTGTCTAAATGGTGAGGCAGAAATCTAGCCACAGTGGCTAAATCCTTGGAGTTTTGCTGTGAAAAATGTTTGTTCTGCTTTTAGATACCTTTTGTTGGATTATAATCTGTGGAGGCATGGAATTAGATAGCTTTGAATGTCAATTATAGTACTTCTATGTAATTTAATTGATTTTCACAAAAGGTGTTAGAGTGTGTTGCTACTGTAGATGTAGGAACATTTTTCTGAAGTATGTATTGTTCCAGTTTACAAGGTGGGTAGTAAACTTTGTAAAACTAAATAAAAAGTTGAGCAGGAAAACCCAGAATCAGATACAAATTTCCTGGCATAAGCTTCCACTCTTGACTAGGCCTTACTTCCTTCTCTGAAATAAGCATGTATACAATGATAATCACAATTTTCAAATACAAAAATATTTGGGTTTACTTGCTCATGGCTAATACTGAGTTTTGTTTGCCTGCTTAAAACAGACCATTGAACAGCATTTGTCAAAAGTGGCAGAATCCAGAATTACTGATAGTGCATCTTATTCTTCTCACTCAATACAGCCCATATCAGGCTGGCAGCTGAGCTCCTAACTTTCACTCAGCTCATGCCTGCTGTGCTTTGTTGCAGGTTATGGACACACAGTGCCTTTATCTGATGGGGGAAAGGCCTTCTGCATCATCTACTCGGTCATCGGGATCCCGTTCACGCTGCTGTTCCTGACGGCCGTGGTGCAGCGCATCATCGTGTACGTCACCCGGCGCCCCGTGCTCTACTTCCACATCCGCTGGGGCTTCTCCAAGCAGGTCGTTGCAATAATCCACGCTATGGTCCTCGGCTTCATCACTGTCTCCTGCTTCTTCTTAATCCCAGCAGCAATATTTTCTGTCCTGGAAGATGACTGGAATTTTTTGGAGTCATTTTATTTTTGTTTCATTTCCCTGAGCACCATTGGTCTCGGAGACTATGTGCCAGGAGAGGGCTACAATCAGAAATTCCGGGAGCTGTATAAAATTGGAATTACATGTAAGTGTCAAACTAAGCAGCTAAGTAAAAGGCATTTTATATTAAAAATAAAAAAAAATCAACATCAAACTGACAATCAGACTTCTCCTCTCCATTCTGTGAATAGTGATGCTTTGTCAGCTAGCAAACTGGGCAATAATTTAGGTAGCTCTGTAAAGAGGAAACTGTTAAGTAAGGTCAGTTTTTATAGTTAAGGAAGAAAAAGCTAAAACAAGAATTCCATTTTTTAATCATAGATGTTTACTCTCTTATTAATAGTAGAAAAAAAAAACCCCTCATGTAATTGTTACTAAAATAGTTAAGAGCATCTTGGGCTAACATTTCAGTGCATCACAGAGCCAAGACAATCCAGTAACCTAAGGCCATCCCATAAGGCTAGATGACAGGTGGACAGAAATGAGTTAAGAAGCCATGGAAAACGAGGAGGAATATCAAAGCTTCTGACTCCAGTTGTAACAGAAGGTGGAGTTGAAGCTGGCACTGGTACATGCCAGCTGTCAAAACACACAAGTAGACTGAGATGGTAGAAAAGAAAGATTGAGAATGCTAAATTTAAATTGTTTCATTATATTTCACATAGAAGAAATCATAATAATCAGTGATTTTAAGAAAGTGAATATTTTAAAAAGAAAATTACCTTTATTTTGGTATTCTGAGTAAATGTATGCTGAGGGCAATATTTTCCAGTGACAGTGTTTTGAAACATGGCAGTTTCTCATAAAGCTTCAACCTGAGCAGTCTTTGGGTCATCAGAGGCATCAGTTAAAAGATCTAAACACCCAAAGCAGACCTTTCCTTTCAGGTTCTTTTCTTAGGCTGGTCTGCATTCAGCTATGCTTCTGTGCATGATCCAGCAATCATGATGTAGGCAAAGAATCTGTTAACTTGGTTTTGTGTTTTACCTGAAGAGAAGTTTTTTCATTCTTTAAAGCAGGGCCTTGAACTAGCCAACAGAACACTTTGTTTTATTATCCTGCCAGCCCTGTTGCTGTTGCAGATTTCCTCCTCTCCCTGTTATGTTTATCTTATAAATGGCATTTTTAAATTATTAACCTGCTGATCTGCAGAGTTGATTTGAGGATGCTAAGTGGTGAAGTGAATGGAAAGTCACACATGGCAAAGGCCTTGTTACAGGCTTGCTGTTCTGAAAACTCAAAATCTGAAGAAAACATAATGGCACAGATTAAAGCTTTTTCAAGCTGTACAACAATTAGGAAGTAAATTGCAGGAAATATTAAAGAAAATACTAAAAGGAAAAGGAAAAAGTAGCTTTTAGGCAAAGTTATGACATTAGAATATCTAATTTCAATAGATTTTAAGGTTGTAACTTTTAAATTATTATTTTTCCTTTCATGTGAGCAATTCAAGGAACCAATGTTTTCTCCTGAACCTAAATTTTCTATAAGATATTTTGGACTTCTTCATCAGAAAATGCTTAATGAGTACTACAGGCTTTTGAAGAATTTTTAGAAGAGCACAAGTCCTGTTCTAAATCAAGTGACAATCAGCTGGACTGAGTCTCAGAGATAATTACAAATTCTTAGTGCAGATTTATAGATGCTTTTCAATTGATATAGCTTTGTCATTCTTCCTTGTGTTAATACATAGCTCCCATTTGATGTTATGACATAAAGTTTAAAATCAATTAATAAATTTTAGCTGTAGTGCTGATTTAGATGAGTATTCAGTATTAAAAAATTGATTAATGGTTCTTCTGAAAGGAAAAGGAGAGTGTTCCTGCCAGTGAATAATCTGTAACTACAGGTGAGATATTTATGCCTTTAGGCAACAGAACAGTGACCATATGGAAATTATAATCATTAATCTGTGTTGATTTTTCAGCACACTTGTGTTGAAAAATGTCCAGTGTGCAGCCCTTGGACGAGTGCATTCTGCTAATAGTTATACACTTAGCTTCTGCTTCATTTACCTTATTGAAATGATAAAATAAATAAGTAGTCATGCTCCTCATTGAACTGTAATGATCAGAAGTGGGGATCTAATGAATTACTGAGGTTAATAAATATCATTTTAATACCTTCCTTTAAACTATACACATTTATGGAGAATAATAAAAAAAAAGAGCTCAGTGTACTGCTGGTCATAGAAATCTCCATTTCCAAAAGTCTCTGTCTGTGAGAGCTGACTATTACCTCTAAAACTCAGTCAATCAGTACATGGCTAAAGTCATCTGTAATACATTTTAGATAAGACTTCCAGGTTTTGTGTACCTCAGTAAAACATTGCAAATGCACACAAAAGATGGAGTAGCTGTGTCAGGTTTTTCAAATTCCAGGAGTAATTTTACAATAAGTTTTCATTTTGGTTTTATTGGGTTTGTACACATTCCTAGTTGCTTTGTTTTTCCAGGTATTTCAGGGTGTTGTATGTCCAATAATTTTAGAGGAAAATAATTACAAAGTTTTCATGAGGCGACAAGGTAGTAAGTGATTTTTCCTGCTAAACTGATACGAATAACCAATAACCATAATTAGCTCCCATATTTTTACTTCTGCTTGTAATATATAGGAATATTGTGGTAAAAGTTTATTTCCCATCTTTTGATCAAAATCTTTTGAAGGCCACTTAATCATTAAAGTCCTAAGTAAGTAAGGGAGTGGCCTGTTGTAAATTTTTATTATTGCAGTTTTTTTAATGCCTTTACCTATGCTTTTTTCTCACACAGTTGTAAGGGATTTAAAGCCACTAGTATTTCTCTTTCTGTTTATGTTGGGTCTTCTAGTTGTAGAATTAGTAAAGGAAAAGAAACAAGGATGTCACAGTTCAAAGCTCTGAAATTATGCCATAAAGAAAATTAACATAATGGTCAGAGATGACAGGGGTGAGAAAAGTCACAAGCTCGATACTGGTCCAGCCCTACCTGGTTTGCTAATATAATTAATTTTTAATTTTTTTTTTATTTTTTTTTTTTTTTTTTTTTTTTTTTTGCACTCAGGTTATCTGTTGATGGGCCTTATTGCCATGTTGGTGGTTCTTGAGACTTTCTGTGAACTCCATGAACTCAAAAAGTTTAGGAAGTTGTTTTATGTGAAGAAGGACAAGGAAGAGGACCAAGTGCATATAATGGAACATGACCAGCTCTCCTTCTCTTCCATCTCAGACCAAGCAGCCTCCATGAAGGACGATCAGAAGGCAAACGAGCCTTTTGTGAATTCCCAGTCCCCAACTTCCAATGACAGCTCTCTAAACAATTAATACACGGGTAGCCATACCAGTGTTTTGGTGCATTTATGCTACTTACCATAAGAAATAGAAAGCCTCGTATTTTTTTCTCAAATTATAAAAGCTGGAAGACTGTGCTACTTTAACAAGGATTTATCACTTCTGACATAGAAAAGACTTCTGGGAAAAATGTGGGAGCCACCCTGGGAAGAGGGAATAAATGTAAGATGTGGCTAGGAACATAAGGCCATTTTGGTTGAGGGATAAGGATTTAGGTGTACCCCATTCAGAGATGCCAGAGAGAAAGGCTTGCACAAGCAACTTTGTTGAACATCTTTAGGAGACTAGGCCTTCACTGACATCCAGCTCATTGAGTTAAATGCCCCATCTTGCAACTGGTTGACAGCAGATTTTGGGATGTGCACTTACAATAGTCACAGTTTTAATCCAATAGCTAGGATCTTAATCTGGAAAACATTTTCAGAGCAGTATCTCTAGATCTGGTGGAGGGGGGAATATCTAGGTCATCCCTCTATTACCCAGTAACTTGTAGGTGTAAACAATTATTCCAGGAAGGAAAAAATAATGCTGCAATCCCTCATTTGCCCATGCCATTTACATCTTAATTTCTTACTTCTTTAAAAGGGCCTCCAATCACCAGAAAAATGTTGTCCTGAAGAAAGTGTGCCTTGGGTCTTCCGTACTGCTTGTTTTTTGTATTAAATACTTTTCTGAGAGATAGCAAAAGCAACTCAAAGCTCTGGATGAGGTGACATGGTAGGGAAGGAAGACAGATGCATTTCAGTCTTCTGAAATGGGCAGGAGTGGGTATTTAGCTGCATGGAATGGAATGAAAACAAGTCAACAGATGCCACACGTGACTGGCACAGTCATGTGCTTGTGGCATTCTCCTGCTAGGTGGCTGAAACCTGCTCAGCAGAAGGACTCGGTGCTGTTCCTCCCACAGTCCAGCCCAGCCTGTGCTCTGCTGAGCTGGTGGGTACACGGAGGAACAGAAACAGCATCACCTTGAACAGAGCTCCTCTTTCTTCTTTTGCTTTTCTAACTGGTACTCGGAACACCTTGGAGGAGAAGGGAATGTTTCAGGGCAAAACAATTTTTCAGTTTTTCGCATGGCAAGAAAAAAGGAAAAATGTCATATTTGGTTCGGATGGAACCGAATTTTTTTCCCCTTGGGAAAAGTCACTAAGAAGTCAAGATCGTGCTCAACTTCTGAAGCTGGAACCTCTTTGACTGTAACAGCAGAGGTGTTTTAGTCCAGCTACCAGTCACTGTGCTGAATGCAGGGATCTCAGAGTGAATTTCAGTGAGCATGAGACAAGATTTAAGTGGTTGTAGTACTTTCTCTTCTGGCCTTAAGAATCTTATGATAGGGGAATCCTGATAATGCTTTGCAGTGAACAAAAGATCTGGAGCACAAATAGCCATAATAGGACAGCCTCCCACATAGGAACAGTGTAGAGGAGAGCCTTTTACCTGCAGCGCAAGCATGCCAGATTGCCTGTAATTTGGCTTTTAGTGTTTAGAGCTGAATAATAATTTACTGTAAAGAAAACAAATGCAGCGTGTCTAGATTTAGCGCACGTGGGAAAAATACTTGAAAGTAAATAACCCAAAATATACTGTGTTTGAGCTTAATTATAGCTAGCATCAAACAATTTTTTATATCTTTACTGGAAAAATTTACTTTATGGTTAAATCAGCTGAAAGTCTTCAATTGAAATTTATATTTGTAGAAAATCAGAGCTAAAGGTTTTGGTTGTTTTGAGTTTTATAGATTAGGTGAGAGCATATTGTGTTTGCATGTTCCCAGGAAAGTGGCTATTTTTATACTGCTTAGGTTAACACAGTTCTATTTATAATGAATGTTAACCAATATATATGTACATATATACATAAATATATTTATATACTGTACATATATCATAAATCACCAGAGTCTAACAGACTTAGGAAAAGCATTTTAGATAATTTTTCCCCTAGTCTCCTCTTTATACAGTCAATATTTGAAAACTATGGCATTAAAATGACACTGACATAAAATTATGAGTACTGTACTATAAGAAACATTTATACTATTTTTTTTTTGTGGGACTTTATTGATTGTTTTCAGTACCTTAAAATTCAAAATTTCTTTTAATTTCCGTGTAATATTGAGCTCTAAAGGATATGCACAGATGTTAAATGATATACAGAGTTACTTTTGCAGCGTGTACACAAATACAAAATGTAGACACATGAAATGAAAGCACAGAATTCAAAGCAGAAGCGATAAACTAAGCAGTATACTGTGATTGTAGGTTAATATTTGTTATTTTAAAATTAAATAAAAAGTCTGGCTTTTGCCTGCCTGCACTATGAAGTGGGAGTATTTTCTTTAGTGGCATGTGTGCCTTGAAGAAATCCTGTCTGCGTTTGTGCATCCTTTAGTTAGCCTTCTTCAGCTCAGGGAGGCTCTGTTAATGCCAGTGTTGTACCTAACCTTGATATTAATTGTGGCTTAGTATTGTTATTCCTTTAAAAAAAGAAAAAAAAAGAAGAGCAATCCAAGGTATGTTTGGTTTTGTTTCAGAGGCTGACTGATTATAGCAAATAAAAAATAGTGACATAGCATTTGTCCTGTCCTTATGAACCAACTGCTCCAATTTGAGAAATCTGCAAAACTGGTGAAAATAATGGCCCTCATTTCATACAGCTTTTACATCTTCACATGAAGTCAGCATATAAGATGAGTTGAAACTGGAATCCAGATCAGAAAGAGAAAGATTATCGTGCAAGAACTTCAGTATAAAGTGCATCCCTTACCTGGAGGCAAACTGTGAAGCAGGTGCATGTAAACCCAGATGGAGGGCATGGCTCATAAAGCAATGGTGCTGAAAAAAGTCACAAGAGAGAGATAGAAATGCAAGCAAATTACTTGTACATAAAAGAATTGCCTGGATTCTGTCCTCACTCTCCTGTCTTCAGTTGGTCCAGGCATATATCCCATTAATAGCTTTATTCCTGTGCTACAGCTGACATTTGCCATCTTCTCGTTGTCTGTCAGTCATTAAATACAAACTTGTTTTATTGTTATTTCAAGGGAAAGGACTGGCAGGATATTCATTGTGTTGGAGGAAAGAAAATGGAAAAACCCACTGGAGTTTTGATTTTGGAGCTGAGTGACAGCTGTGTTGTCCGTTAATGAACGTGTTCTCTTTCTAAAGTTTCTTCCAGATGTCCACCAGTGGCACCTTGTGTGGGCACTGAAGACTTGCTGGAGGTTGAAATGAGTTATTTTCTAAGTAGATCATTCCAGAGACTGGGTTGGTTTGCAGCTTTAATGTCAGCACTGCAAAACCTCCCTAGCTGGGTGCTTATGTCAGAGGACTTGCATAAGAGCAGCAGTTCTGGAGGGCATTAAATATTTGTCCAGCCCAGTGTTTGGTCTCTGGCAATGGCCAGGAGCAGGATGTGAACTTGTGTAAGGAAAAAGCAAGTGTGTATTAACCATTGCCCAGGATGTTCTAGCTCCCAGCAGTGTGCAGCTCTGGATCCATGACAGTGTCTAGGAGGAAAGGGAAGTCAATGTAGGTGTGGTGTGTGGTAGAGATTCTGCACTGAGGTGCCTGCTCTCTGCTTAGGTCAGTGAGAGATTGTCCTGCACAGGATCACATGGAGATTTCCCACAAAGCTGTTTCAAGTTAGGTGCTTTGCAGTTAGCAGGTAACTTGTGGGGAATGGGCTCCTGAAAAATGGAAGGAAGGCAAAAAGGGGAAAGGGTAAAGCCTTTTATGTGCTGTTACTTGGACAGAGCTGTTCTCTAGGTAGATAGGAACTTGCACAAAACCTGTTTGCTAATACCAAGTTTTGAATTTACATGTTACAATTTGCCTTGTAAACAGTTGCCACAAATGTAGTGAGATAAGTTGTTAAAAATACCACTGCCCTAATGTTATTCCATTATTCATTCTTCTAGATTCTGCTTTCTACTGAAGCAAAATAAAGCAAAAAAAAAAATACTGTAATGGGAAGCAGTATTATTCCAAGTGTGCACCATTACAAGAAAATGGGGTTTCTCTTCTCTGCACTACCAGTACTATCAGTATTGCAGCATATATCATAAAGCTTCTAGATAGCAAAAAAATTTTCTTGTTGCTTGTTTCAAACAGAGACCATATTTTTGAGATTCTGGAGACTCCTTCTGCAAAGCATTAAGTCTTGCTTGATGCAGATTAGGTGTCTATAATTTTGATACCTACTGTGTCAGTCTCATTGCTTCCTAAGTTACCATTCCACTTACTTTTTATCACAGAGTTCCTACCACAATTATCTTCAAAGGTCATTGTGTTACCACTGAGTGTGAGGACTGCAATCCTTTGCTGGTGATGGTGCAGGTTTGCCAGGGCCATTGCCTTAGCTGATAACAAGACGATCTCACCGGTGGCAGTGAGATCATCTGGGGCCAAGTGACAGCTTTGGGTAATGAGGAGGGACAGTGTGGGTGGGAGCAGGTGCACGGGCTGACAGCCAATGTCAGGGAGAAATCATCCTGCCAAACTGCTAAGTGACCACACAGTTTTCACTGGGCTTCATTGCCTGTCACTAGGAGTTACAGGAAGGAAGAGCAAGGACATTGCCAAAAGTAATCTGAAATGAAGTTCAGTGGACATTATTCACCATTTATCTACACTTATCTGCAGCTCTCTGTTACTTCAGTTGCACCATATATTCTAAGAATCAGGATAATGGTTTGGCATTTCCCCAGTGTAGATGGCTCCTGTGGCCCCTGAGGCAAGTTATGCTTGTTATCCTAACAAGCTTTTTCTGTCTTAAGTTTACTTGGTGTTCAGCCCCATGAGCAGAGCATAGGTGAGTGTCACTGCTGAAACTTTCCAAGGGCAAATGTGGCTCAAGGCACTGCCTGGCCTTGGGTCAGCCTTTTATTTTAGTGCCTAGCCTGTCTGGAAACATAGTAATGAACTCTCCACCTTAAAAAGAGAGAAACCCATTCTTCTGGGAGGCTCAAAACTCCCCAAATCCATTTGGTGCTGATCCCAGGGGTTTCATAGCCTTGTGTGTATAGCGCATATGTGCAAGTATCTGGAGGAGCACATAGAACTGCCACTTCTCTATACCTGATTTTTTTTTGAGACTGGCTTACTCCCTTAACCTTCTGAATTTCTCTTCTCCATTCAGGAAGATGGCTCACAGTATTCTCTGACTGTCCTTACGCTCTCACTAGTACCTAGCTGGGCCATCTCAGGACGTGGCAAGGTGAGATTCAGAGAGTAGAAAGGGACTTCATTATCTGCCCTAGTGATGGGGACTAGGTGAGGGGACAGGAAAGCCCCACCCCGCCCATTAGCTGTAGCTGCAGCCACCACTTTATTTCTAAAACCATTTCCAATGTCTGGCACAAAAGGACTGTATTATTCACTCATCTGTACTGCATGTCAGCCAGTGCTTGTGCTAATGGTAACATAATGGCATAAAAACTAATAGCTCATCTAGAAGAAATAAATTGGTTTATTTTTCTTTTTGAGTGTATTACTGCTTTGCTTATGAGCATTAGACTGATTGAATCCTGGCCTGCAATATTATATCTGGACATATTATCCTACAACTGTAAAGCTTTCATCTTAACCCCACGTGGGCAAAAATTAATCAGCATGTTTGCATAAACAGAAGACAGCAAACTGTAGTGTCAGTTTAACTAGGAATTAGCAAATCCTAATTCTGCATTTCTGGGCTGGTTTCCTGATTATGGGCAAAGATGTGTTAAATTTGTTTAGCAATCGCCAGCTGTGATTTGAGGCATGCTTTCTGAAGAGAGATGCAAAAAATATCATTGCCCAGTAATGAAGTACAACATCACCTTTGGGATAAAGTCCCTCAAATGTTTAGTAGGCTACTTTTGCAGATTAATGCTATTTGCATGGGATAATGAAGCCCTGTTGGAAATTTATTGTGCAAAAATGAAAATCCACACTCCATTTAACTCAAATTCCTGCTTCATGTTCAGTGGAGAGAGGAATCAATATGAAAGAAGAAAATGACCCTCATTTTGTACCCCCTCTTCTGGGGAGCTTGACCTGCTATTGCTGACCCTGCTGAGAGCTGAGAAAATGCCCTGGTTTTCCTGATCCATGCAGAGTGTGGAGTCAGGCAGTCTGCCCTGGGAAGGTTTGCAAGCAACTTCAGCCTCAAGAAGGTGGGGTGATGCAGGGAGAGCATCCATGGGGCACAGGGAGACCTTCCATGGGGCACAGGAGCAGAGACCACAGCTGCTCTGAGGCCAGAGGTAAGTAGCAAAGGTGGCCAGTGCAGGGGGGACGTGCAGGGTCAGGGGCAGTCAGCCTGCTCCAGCCCGGCCCCTGGGAGGAGCCAGTGCCCAAGGGAGTGCCAGGGGAGGAGGGAATAATTTGACATCAGGATTGTCAAAGAGGTGGTGTCACTAGGACAAAACTAGTCAATCTGTAACAAGTAGGAAGTGTGGAGGGAGAAGATGAATTTCTGTCTTTTAAAGGCAGAAAGGACCCTTTTGATGCTCTTCTGTGGCCTCTTACAGCAGCCAAGATACATCTGCAGTGTTAGAGCAGATAGGATTTCCAGGTCTGACAGAAACAGTCCCAGCTCACATCCTCTGTCCCTGATGCTAATTACCTTCCCTGTTAAAAAAATTCCTGTCTTCTTTGGCTAACTGCACAATTTCTAGTTAATTGTTCCAAAACCAGCCTTGCTGTAGGACTTTGTTACATGCTTGTCTGCTAAGTGACAGACCTCATTATATTAGCTACCAGCTTGCCCTGAAAAGATGAGCATCCTTCAATGTCCTCTTTAGTAGGTGAAGCAGGCCGTACTCCTGTGAGTGCTGAACATCTTGTCAAAAGCTCAGCTCATTCCATTCCCAGTCCAGTTTTTCAACATGCATTTTTCAGCACACCACTGCAACCACAGTGCCACACACCTGCCAGTACCCAGGGTGGTAGATCTGCAGAGGGGCTGTGCTGTGGCCAGGGAGTAGAAAAGGGAGATGGCATTAACCACAATGCCCCATCCTCCATGCTTTCCCTCTTTTTGGGGATCCCCAAGTTTCCCTTCATGCCTCTCCCCCCCCATGGAGCACACCTGATACTTGTCCCCACCCCTACTAACCTGGGGGAGATGCATGGGGACAGAGAATCTGTGGCAGCATCTCTGCCCTAAATGCTCCTAAGTGTCTGACACAGAGACATTGAATTTTTAAACACAGTCTGCTGCACCCTACAAGAGCCAAGAGCTTGGTAAATGCCTCCTAGTCCATGTGCCCAGCCTGCTGTGCCGAAGCTGTTTGCCTCTTGTGCAGACCCTTGGGATGCAAGAGCTTGTCAGAGCTCAGAAGAAACGTGGGCACACCTGCCAGAAGGGTCAACTGCACATTTACTTCAGGCAATCTCAGAGCTCTTCATTTTGGGCAATGGGACTATCTCATCAATCCTCCTGCCCTCCTGGCTGTGCCTCAGGCATCAACAAGGTGCTGAGAACAAGTATAAGTGTATAAATGACCCTTGGCCAGGAGTAAAGCCCCTTGCAGGGAGGGCATTGCACAGAGTAGGAAGATGTATTTTTATTAACTTCAGGGTACAGGTCAAAAAAAAAAAATCTTACATGCACTGGAGCTGCTCCAGGGCTGTAGCATCCCCCTGTGATAGACAGTGCCCCTGTGATGTTCTTGGGGACACTTGTACTGTGACTCCCTTTGTGAGCTCTAGTTGTTGTTAAAATGCAACTGAGGCTGCAATTTCCTATTCAAGATGAGGCAAGAGACTTAACTCCTTGGTGCTGAGGTAAGGCTATGTCCTGAGTCAGGCAGTGACATCCCTGAACAATCCAAACAATCCAAGCACCTCTAAACAATCCAAAACTCTGTATCTGCCAAGCTACTGATAATTTTGATGACGCAAGTATTGCTACCTCATCTTCTCACAAAGGAGGCTAATAAGAGTTGCAGTTTTTGATTTGCAAGTCATACATAGAGACATAAACCAATCTCAACATGAAAATAGCTTTTTGAGAAGTTGTAGTCCTGATTTCCCTTAGATGTGAGCTTGGTGACTAAACAGAATAATGTAATGATCGGTACAGGGATAGCAGACTAACCCTGAAAGCTTGGACAAAAATAGATCCCCTGGGCAAATGGTTACCCAGAACTTTCTTTCCCAGCTGCAAAATGTAAGCCTGGATGGAACTCCCAGAGCTGGTAGTTGGAGCAGAGAAGCAGGGATGAATGAAAAGCACACAGCCCTGGTTCAGCAAGACCCCCAGTAAGATAATTTCATTGAATTCCAAGAAACAAGGTGATGTGTTTGCACCAAACTGGTCTAGCAGACAGCTAAGAGAACAATTTGGTTCTGCTATATTTCTGCCTTTATGTCACTGTCACTCTTTGCACCATGCTGTAATCCAGAAAGTGTCACCCTCCCTGAATGCAATACAGGCTTGGTTAAAAATGTTTTCAGAACTGTTACATCAGCAGCACCCCGGTGTGCTATTGCTGTCATGTTGGCAGCTCCGTAAGGCATTCCCTGAGGTCATGTGGTCAGTCTGGCAATTTTAATTGCATCTCATCGTTTAACCTCACCTCTTGTTAGATGTGAGATATAAAATCAGAAGAAAACCTATGTGTCAACTATTGCAAGGAATTAGCACTTCAATTTCAGCCTGTATTTGTGCACTTCTCTCAGAAAGAACCCAGTTTATCTTGCTTAATGATTTTATAAACCCTTCTTCTTGGTAGACCATGGCTCTATCACACTTCAAAAATGCAACCAGATTTGGCAATGCAACAAATAGAACCTTTGTATTTGTGCTGCTATTTTACCAGAGATTAAAGCATCGACACAAACAGTTTATCCCAGAATCAGAAGCATGTATGAGGCATGGAGCTTCTCCCTCAATCTCAAGAGTCCAAATTCGTCTCTGTAATGACAAAGTGGTCTCTAAAGGACGATGAGGAAGCAAGAACAGGCAGTGATTC